GAGGCCTTACTGCCGGTGCCGCCGACCCTGAACGACGACGGCGGCGACGACGACGACGACGACGACGACCAAGGGGGGTCGCTCCCCCCTGTTGAGGGGGGGACTGGCCCGTGGGGGGGGGGGGCTCCCTCCTGTGAACAGGGGGAGCATGGGACGCTTGAAAGGGGGGGCAAAGCGGGGACGCTGGGGGGAAGGGAGGAGAGGCTCTCTCCCCCCGGTTCTTGGGGGGGCCCCCCCACCCTCCGCCACATATTCGGGATCGGCAAAACAATAGCAGGAGCCCCACGGGCCCCAGGGCACCCCCCGGGACCACCCCCCAGGACCACCCCCCGAGACCACCCGCCGGGACCACCCCCTGGGAGTTGCCCCGGGACTCCCCCCGCGCTGGGGAAGGGATCAAGGGAAGGTGCTTCCCTTCGTTGTTCGATTCGATTTCGTCTTGGCTGGATCGGTTGAGGAAGAGGGCCTGGGGAAAGAGGGAAGATGGCGAGGGCGACGACGACGACGACAACGGCGACGGCGACGGCGACGACGACACCGACGACGACAAACGGAAGAGCGCCTCACACACGCCGACAGGGTCGGCGGAGTAAGGAGCATATGTCATTGTCGGTGCTTGGGTTCTGTTCGGCCAGCATTATGGATGCTTCTTGTACCTCAGACTTACACCATCAATGGGTAATCACTTCAGTGGATACGGGACCTCCTCAAGGGATGGAGTCGACTAGAACCTAAGCGCGCGCGAAGCGCGCGCGTGGTTCTAGTATATGTATATATATACGTACATATATACATATATTCATGTATGTATGAATGCATGTATATTTATATATATGTATGCATGCATGCATCTATGCATGTATGTATATATGCATGTATATATGTATGCATGCATGCATGCATGCGTGCACTGTCTGTCTGTCTGTATGTATGTATGCAGGTATGCAAATATGCTTGTAACGTATACAATGTATGTATGCACGCATATCTGTCTGTCTGCCTGCCTGTCTGTCTGTAGGTATATATATATATGTGCAGGGATGCATGTATGTATATAACTATGTATGTATGTATGTATGCATGCATGCATGCATGCATGCATGCATGTATGTATGTATGTATGCATGCATGTATGTATGTATGTATGTATGTATGTATGCATGCATGCATGCATGTATGTATGTATGTATGTATGTATGCATGTATACATGTTTATAGGTATATATGCATGTATGTATGTATGTGTGTGCATGTATGTACGTATGTACGTAAACATGTATGTATGTATGCATACATGTATGCACGCACGTCTGCGTGTACCCCCTTGGTCCCATCTACTGTGCTCTCGTCCTGGCACGTGTGGCGGCCGGTGCCCGGGATGAACTGGCCGCAGCAGGGATCGATTTCTTCGACGTGTGGTATCTGGACGACGGGCAGATCGTGTGCCGGCCTGAGCACGTTGACGCCGTGCTCCGGGCACTCGACGCAGCCGGCGCCCGTGTGGGCGCTGCGAGAGCACGGGGCGCCGAGGCGAAGAGCGTCGCACGCGTCGTCGGGCCGCCTGCTGCTGTGGCTGCGTGCAGAGGCTGGGCCACGGATCCACGTTCGACCCGTCGCGCCAGGAGCACGTGCTTGGGGTCGACTTCGGGGACGCGCACACCCCGTCCGACCAGTTCCGCCGGGCCACCGAGGCTGTCTCCGAGCTCCACGAGGCGCTGGCGCAGGTGGAGGACACGGCGTCGGAACTGATCCTGCTCCGCAAGTGCGCCGACGTGTGCAAGGTGGTTCACCTGCTGCGAGCCTCGGGCCCTTCGATCGACCCAGCGGCGCTGGGCGATTACGACTCCATGTTGCGGCGGTCGTTGGTGCGGTGCCTCGGCGGGGACTTGGACGACCTGTCCGCGGCCCAGTGCGCTGTCGGCGTCTCGGAGGGCGGGCTCGGGGTGCGGCGCGCCGCAGCCACGGCGCTCCCAGCCTTCGTGGCGTCCCGGGTCGAGTCACGGTGGCTGGTAGACCTGCTCGTGCAAGGCGTCTCCGAGGCTGGGGTCGGGCCCGAGGGCATGTTCGCCGCTTACGACGCGAGCACCGAAGAGGCGCAGTTGGCCTTCGAGGCGTCGCTCCCGGCGGCCGCGGCGACGCGAGCTCGGGACCTGGTGCAGCAGGCGGCCGAAGCACGCGGTACTCCTGGGGCGGCGCTCGCAGGCGCGAGGCGCCGGCGCGAATCGGCCATGGCCGGGGACGACCTGGTGCTGCCCGCGGGAGCCGAGGACGCCGAGTTCGAGCCCGCCAGCCTGCAGGCGGCCTTGTGTGCCATCCAGGACGAGCTGGCGGTCGTCCGCCTCCTGGAGCAGCTGGACGTGCCCGCGCTGCAGGATCGCCGCCGGCGCCTCCTGGAGCTGCGCGACCCCTCCGTGTCGCACGAGTGGCTGTGGCGAGTCTCGCGCGCACATGGTCCAGTGGTGCCCAGAAGCGACTTCCAGGTGGCGGTCCGGCTCCGGGTGGGCGCAGTCTGCACCAGCCCCACCGCGCTCTGCGCTCGGTGCGGCGCCTCGCTTGGGACGACTGGCTCCCATGCCCTCTGCTGTGCCTTGCCAGAGGCCACCCGCGGGCACTACGACGTCCGGGACGAGGTGCTCCGGTTGGGGCACTTGGCAGACCCCACCGCCGCGACAGAGGCTCTCGGGCTCATTCCCTCTGCTCCAACGCTCCGCCCCGTGGACATCTTGACCTCAGCGGCCCTCCCGGGCCGCTTGGCGGCGTTGGACATTGGGATCACGAGCCCCGACGCAACCGGCGCGGGCGCGGACTGCTGCGACGCGATGTACCGCAAGAAGCAGGGGGACTACCAGGAGTACGAGGCTGAGCTGCGGGCGCAGAACATCACATACCGGCCAATGGTTTGGTCGGCTTGGGGCCGCGATCACCCGGAGACCAGCGTGATGCTCTCCGCGATGGCCGCGCAAGCGGCCCGGCGCCGTGGGCTGCGGGGCCACCGGCTGCTCCTCCGAAGGGTCCGGAGCGCCATCGGCGTCCAGCTAGCGCGACGGGCCGTGCGGATGCTGCACTCTTGGGTGCCGCGCTTCGAGGAGGAGGAGGACGCGGCGCTCTTCGGGGGCTACTGCGACGACGGCGCCCGGCACGAGCCGCGGGCAGTCCGGCTCCTCGCGGGAGCGGCAGACGCCTGGCCTGCACCCGCGGAGCTGGACGAGGCGGAGAGGGCGCCAGCGGCCGCCCCCGGCGGGCTGGGCAGCGACGCGGAGCCAGACGAGCCAGGCGGCCGCGTGCCCGAGCCCGCCGAACTGGGCAGCCTGGAGCCGACGGAGCTCCGCGGCCCCGGGGAGCCGCCGGGCAGCGCGGACGCCGGCCTGGACCTCGCGGAGGCGGCCAGCAGCCTGGCGCCGACGACGCCCCGCGGCACCTCGCCAGAGCGGGCTGGGGCGGACGGCGCCGAGGCCGGGCTTGCTCTGCCTGCGCACCAGCTGCTGCCGCCAGCGGCCAGCGCGCTGCGCGCTGGGAGCGCCGCGGGGGGCCGCGTCGCCGCCCTGCGCCTCGTGTACGGGGCGGGCCCGCGGCCGGGTGGGCGCTGAGAGCGAGGGGCGAGGATGTGGTAGAGGTTGTGGGGGAGGGGGAAAAAGTGTGTGTATGTGTGTATGCATGTATGGACGCATGTAATGTATGTGTACATGTATGTATTCACATATGTATGTATTTGTACATGTATCTATGTATGCAGCCATGTATGCATGTGTGTATGTATGTGTGTATATATACACATGTATATTTACACACATATATATGTACATATATACACACATATATATATATGGGTGCGCGCATGTATGTATGCAAACATGCATGTATGTATGTATGGACTTACGTATGACTGACTATACGTATATTGCATGTATAGATGTATGTCTGACTGTCTGTCTGTCTGTATGTTTGTATGTGTGTTTGTGCGCATGCATGTACGTATGTACGTACGTATGTATGTATGTACGTATGTATGTATGTATGCATGTATGTTTATGTGTATGTATGTATGTATGTATGTATGTACGCATGTATGTATGTATGTATGAATGAATGAATGTATGAATGAATGAATGTATGTATGTATGTGTTCATGCATGTATGCATATACGTATGTATGTACGTATGAATGTCTGTATGCATGCATGCATGCATGCATGCATGCATGCATGCATGTATGTATGTATGTGTGTGCATGTGTGCATGCATGCATTCATGCATGCATGCATGCATGTATGTATGTGCCTATCTGTATATGTCTGTCTGTCTGCCTGCCTGCCTGCCTGCCTGCCTGTCTGTCTGTCTGTGTGTGTGTATGTATGTATGTATGTATGTATGTATGTATGTATGCATGTATGTATGCATGCATGTATGTATGTATGTATGTAGGTATGTATGTATGTATGTAGCCCGGGCGGCTCCAGAGTTCTCCAGGACCAGCTCAAGAATGGCCAATTTTTCTCGAGTGCGCTCCAAGACGCCCGAAGGAGGCGTGAACAGTAGGCGTTGAGCGAGGGGGGGAACTCTGAAGGAGAAAGCCCTCTCAGAAGGCGGTGGGGCTTCTCAGAAGCTTGCGCCTTTGAAAGGTTTTCTGCGTCTTTGGGGAAGACTTAGCAAACTTTTCAGAAGGCTGGGGACTTCTGAGCCTTCTGAGAAGTCCTTCTCCTTCTCACTTCCCCCCCTGGGCGCGCCGCCGAAACAAGGGCCAAGAGGCCCCCAAGACGCCCCAAGATAGCTCCAAGAGGCCTCCCAAGAGGGCCTCGGCAGGGAAAAATACACCAAATTCCCCATCGGGAAACGCAGAACACGTATATTTTCAGAATGCTCGCTTCTCCGGGTGTTGACAGCGCCTCAGACGGAGCAAGAGGCGCCCCTTCAGGCGACGAACGCGACGAAAACAACGACGGCGACGACGACGACGGCGACGGCGACGGTGACGACGTCTTGACCGACCCTTGAGTCCGCAGGTGACTGCGCTCGCGAAGAAGGACGTCAAGAAGGCGCGGGGCGCGCACAGAAGCTCGCGAACGGAGAAACCAAGTATGGGGAGGAGGAGGAGGAGGAGGATGTCGTCGCCGAAGTCGATCCCGCCTATTCAGGCAGATGGTGGCAATGATAATGCTGCTGTCGACGATGACGATGATGATGATGATGATGATGATGATGATGATGATGATGATGATCATGCAGATAGTGGTGGTGCTGATGCTGATGATGATGATGGTATTGTGAGGATGGTGACGGTGATGAAGCTGATGATGATGATGATGATGATGATGATGATGATGATGATGATGATGCTAGTGGTGGTGATGATGATGCTAGTGGGAATGTGGATGAGGTTGAGGATGAGGATGCGAATGCTGATGCGGATGCGGATGAGGATGATGATGATGATGATGATGCTGGTGATGGTGATGATGAGGATAATGATGCTGATGATGATGAGGATGATGACGATGGTGATGATGATGATGCTAGTGGTGGTGATGATGATGCTAGTGGGAATGTGGATGAGGTTGAGGATGAGGATGCGAATGCTGATGCGAATGCGGATGAGAATGAGGATGATGAGGATGATGATGATGATGATGATGATGATGATGATGCTGGTGTTGGTGATGATGAGGATGATGATGCTGATGATGAGGATGATGACGATGGTGATGATGATGGTGGTGGTGATGATGACGATGACGATGATGCTGATGCTGCTGGTGATGATGATGATGATGACGATGGTGTTGTTGTTGATGCTGCTGATGATGATGACCATGGTGACCATCATGATTCGGGCGAGGACGGTGATTCGGATGCTCATGCTTACGTCGATGACGATAACGACGTTGACGCTGGCGATGACCATGGTGACCACGATAATGGCCTTGTGATGGTGGTGGCAATGTTAATGATGATGCTGCTGATGATGATCATGGAGGTGGTGGTGACTGTGGGGAAGGAGGTGCTGACGACTGTGATGGTGTTGATGATGATGCTGATGATGATGATGGTGATGCTGATGCTGCTGATGATGATGCTGATGGTGATGATGACGATGGTGATGATGATGATGATGATGGTGGTGGTGATGATGATGCTGATGCTGATGATGATGATGATGATGATGATGATGATGATGATGATGATGATGATGATGATGATGATGATGGTGGTGGTGGTGGTGGTGGTTGGTGGTGGTGGTGGTGGTGATGATGATGATGATGATGATGCTGCTGCTGCTGCTGATGATGATGATGATGATGATGATGATGATGATGAAGACGTCGCAGCTGATGCTGACGAAGATAACAAGGACGACGAGGACGATATGTCGGTGGAGGTGAAGGCGGGGCAGCGACAGCAGCGGCAGTCGGCCTCGCCCGTGTGTGTGTGCGCGCAGGCCCTGGAGACACTGGAGTCCGCCCTGAAGGGCTCGGAGTGCGCCCTGTCCCGTTGGCCCACCGCGGTCTTCTGCGGCTAGTGTTCGTCGTCGTCGTCGTCCTCACCCTCCTCCTCTCACTCCTCCTCGTATTCGTTCTCCATGTTTAGTCCTCCGTCCTCCTCTCTTCTCGTTCTCGTCCTCATCCTCCTCTTCCTCCTTCATCATCCTCTTCCTTGTCCTCCCCTTCTTCGTTCCTTTCTTCCTCCACCTCCTCTTGTTTCTCTGCGGTTGCTCAATGTTGGCCAGCCTGGACCACAACCTGTTAGCCATTGCGCTGTCGTCGTCATCATCGTCGTCGTCGTCCTCACCCTCCTCCTCTCACTGGAGGAGGAGGAGGAGGAGGAGGAGGAGGATGAGGACGAGGGGGAGGAGGAGGAGGAGGAGGAGGAGGAGGAGGAGGAGGAGGAGGAGGAGGAAGAGGAGGAGGAGGAGGAGGAGGAGAATTGGGAGGTGGATGAGGAGGGGGAGGAGGAGGAGGAGGGAGGTGGATGTGGAGGGATGTGGAGGTCGAGGCGGCGATGGGAATGGACTTGCAGGTGGAGATGGAGGAGGATGTGGAAGTGGAAGTGTGGGTGGAGGTGGGTGGGGGTAGGGTGCCGTGAGGTACGTGGAGGGAGATGGAGGGAGCGGGGGATGAGGAGATTTTAGGATAGGGGATGGAGGAGTGATAGTAACAAGCAGTAGAAGTATTAGTGGTAGTAAGTAGTAGTAGTAGTAGTACAGTTAAAATAGTGAGGTATAGTAAGTAGTAGGTAGTAGTAGTAGTAGTTGTAGTAGTAAAGTAAAATAGTAGTAAGGAGGAGACAGTAGAAACATTATGTAAAGTAGTCGTAGTAGTAGTAGTCGTAGTCGTAGTAGTAAGTAGTAGTAGTAGTAGTAGTAGTAGTAGTAGTAGTAGTAGTAGTAGTAGTAGGTAGTAGGTAGTAGGTAGTAGGTAGTAGGTAGTAGGTAATAGGTAGTAGGTAGTAGGTAGTAGTAGTAGTAGTAGTAGTAGTAGTAGTAGGAGTAGGTAGGTAGTAGGTAGTAGGTAGCAGATAGTATGTAGTAGGTAGTAGTAGTAGTAGTAGTCATCGTAGTACAGTTGTAGTAGTAGTGTTAGTCAATAGGCGTCGTAGTAGTAGTAGTAGTAGTAGTAGTATGTCGTATCGTAGTCGTAGTAGTAGTAGTAGTAGTATGGGAGGAGTAGTAGTACCATAGTGGGGGTAAGCAAGGAGCAGTCGGAGTATCATTAGTTAAGTAGTGAGAAAGTAAGTAGTAGTAGAAGTAGGAGTAGAGTAATTAGTAGTAGTAGTTGTAATCGTAAGTGTCGTAGTAAGTAGTAGAAGTAGTAATACTTAGGGGGAATTAGTAGTAGCAATTCGTAGGATTCGTATAAGTAGTAGTAGTAGTATTAGAAGTAGTATTAGTAGTAGTAGTAGTAGTAGTAGTAGTAGTAGTAGTAGTAGTAGTAGTAGTAGTAGTAGTAGTAGTAGTAGTAGTAGTAATATTATTAGTAGTAGTAGTAGTAGTAGTAGTAGTAGTAGTAGTAGTAGTAGTAGTAATATCAAGAGAAGGAGTATGAGTAGGAGTACTACTACTAGTAGGATTACTACTCATGATAAACCCACTAGTGCGACTAATACGGCTAATACTAATGGGCATATCACTGTGAATAGTCGTCTTGTTATACAATCATCATCGCCAGTACCAATGAGGTTAACAATCGCAATACTGAGAAGAACACTAGGTTTACTAATAAGACGCATACACATGATACGACCACTAAGACAACTGTAAGCATACAAATACTAAGGATATTTCTTTCACGAAGAGCGCTACTATTATGAATGACAGTGCGCATATTAATAATAATGCTAATCTGTGGAAGAAACAGAAGCAATATGAATAAGAAGGCTAATGGAACTACTCTAAATGATAAGGATAATGCGCGAACTGCGAATGATACTGGCACCACTGCTACTAGTATTAAGAATAAACATGCAAACACATGAATATTACGAATAATAATGCGACGACTTATACTAACACGAAGACTCAACATAATACGAGTAATCATAGCGAGTAGAATACTCATGAGGAGAAGAAGGGCAATTACACCGCTACAGGTAACAATAGTAATCATTTTAGCAACACGAATGACAACACTAACAAAAATGAGACGAACACTATTTTCAGTAAACGTAGTAATATTAATGTTACTAATACCACTAATAATAGTTCGGATAATACCCATATAATAAGACAGTAGTATTAGTAGTAGTAGTAGTAGTAGTAGTAGTAGTAGTAGTAGTAGTAGTAGTAGTAGTAGTAGTAGTAGTAGTAGTACTACTACTAATACTAGCAGTAGTACTTATACTAATTATGTTACTACTGACGATACTACGAAGGTAAGAAGAAGAGGAATCTATAGAGGATGAGGAGGAGAAGGAGGAGGATGAGGAGGATGAGGATGATGATGAGGAGGAGGAGTAGTAGGAGGAGGAGGAGGAAGAGGACGAGGAGGAGGAGGAGGAAGAGGAGCAGAAGGAGGAGGAGCAGGAGGAAGAGGAGGAGGAGGAGGAGGAGATGGAGAGGGAGGAGGCCGCCTCGCGCTCAGTTACCTCCTCGGGGACTTCGTCTGCCTTGCGGACATCGCGCTGGTCTGCGCGCTCAAGGAGGCGCCCGCCGCGCGACGCCCCCACCCCACCCCCAATCCCCTGCGCGCTGTGCCGACCGCGGCGTCTTCGCTGCTTTCGCCGTCGGTCCGTCACCGGTTGCTGTCGTTTGTCGTCTGTCGTCTGTCGTCTGTCGTCGTCGTCGTTGTCGTCGTCGTTGGCGTCGATCCATCGTCGCCAATCTGCTGGAGCTTCAGACTTCGACCTCGATCACCTCAGGCGCGCTTTCGGAAGATGTGTGAAGCCATCGTCGGGGTCCAGGTCGCTTACTGCTCTCACTATATTGGAAGACCCTTGTTGGTATCCATCAGCGGCCCCCTTATAGTGAGTTATTCCAAGAAGATCTGGACCAACCAACTCCGCGAGTTCAGTTTCACAGTGCCTTCCCCCAACTCCGAGAAGCTTGGCTCTCCTCTTTTAGTGTGCAAGACCCGTCCTGGAGGTCGAGTTCAGGCCGATGATGGCCATGCGCGTATCCCCTCGGCGTATCGGGTGGGATGTGGTTGACTTCGCCACCCCGGTTCCGGATCAATATGTTCGCATGTCTCATATCACTACTTCCCCGAAAATGATAAAACAACTGCTACATGACGGAGTTCTCCCTCCGAGAGTTTCAGAGGAGTGCAGGATCTGAGGCAGGATTTCGAGAACGAGCATGCTTCGACGTTGTGGGCACGGCCCTCCGCAGCAAGAAGCTCACGCCGTACAACAAGGGCTGTGTCAAGGCCCTGTGATGTGATATGATATGGTCGCGTATCCGTGCCTCTCAGGCCGGCTACGATCTATCCCTGTATTCTTTGTCCTTTTTGCGGAGGACACCATGTTCAATCGTCTATGGCAGCGTACAGCAGTACAAGAGGAAAGGTTGGAAGGTGTCCCCCCAGGAGGGTATTAACGAGGCCTTGTTCCTAATCGTGATGATTTGTTTCAGCTTTGCACTCGAGGCATCTTTCCACATCATGGAGATCGGTTGGATGGTCCAGCCAAGGACGGAGGCATCGAAATCACTTGGTTTGATGACCCCACCCCTTCGAGCGCGGAGATTCTAGGGCATATGTGTTTCCACGGGTCAGCTTTTAAACATTATGTTTCGGCGCTTGATCGAGCGGGGTGGGGGATAGCGGTTGTATGTGATTCCGGATGGCAGTTGCTTCTATTTCGGGGCCCATGTGGGCCGAGTTCCCGCATACTTCCCCGGCTGGCAAGTTCGGTTATTTGCCTGCGGGGAGTGAAATAGTGGTTGGCCTTTGCCAAGGGTGTAGTGACTGTCTGAATGTGATTAAAGCTTTCGCGCTCCCTCACTCTGTTCAGACATTTTTTGATCGACCTTATGCGGGTATGTTCCTGCGCATGCGTCGCGTTCCGATGTCGGCAGTAAGCAATGTGAAGGTACACCTTGTGGATGACGGCAATTTGACGGAATTCCAGCAGTTTTGTAAACAAGGCAACGGCGCCGCAGACGGCTAAGAGAGGAGCTGTTTCCCATTTCGGCTTCCCTATTCATAAATGCAGCAAGTCTCGCATCAAGTTGCCGTTGCTAAGCATGTTCTTAGGCTCACGTGTCTGCTTATGCCACGCTGGTCCAGGGCTGGATCTCACGAGTGTTTCACAACTTTAGCCCCAGCCCTGAGGTACCATGAATGAGGAGAATCGCTTCCCCACGAATACTCCCGGCTCGTTTTTTCCCAACCATCCTGTGGTGTTGGGTTCTCGTTTTGAAGAGACGGTGCCCCGCGTCTCTCCTCCTTCCTTCCTTCCTCCTCCCCCTCCTCCCTCCTCCCTCCTCCCTCCTCCCTCCTCCCCCTCATCCCTCCTCCCCCTCCTTGCCTTTGCTCTCGGCACACCTCTCACACGTTTCGTAGCCCCGTAGGGAGCTCCTCCGAAGGTCCCAGTGGCACAGCCCGCATGCGTCCGCCACACCCAGCACAGCGCTTCGTGGCCCCATAGGGAGCTCCACCGAAGGCCCCAGTGGAGGGGGGCGCATGCGTCCGCCACACCCAGCACAGCGTTTCGTGGCCCCATAGGGAGCTCCACCGAATGCCCCAGTGGGGGGGGGGCGCATACGTCCGCCACACCCAGCACAGCGTTTCGTGGGCTTCACCGAAAGTCCCAGTGGGGTGGGGGCGCATGCGTCCGCCACACCCAGCACGGCGTTTCGCGGCCCCATTGGGAGCTCCACCGAAGGCCACAGTGGAGGAGGGTGCATGCGTCCGCCACACCCAGGCCCCAGTGGAGGGGGGCGAATTCGTCCGCCACACCCAGCACAGCGTTTCGTGGCCCCATAGGGAGCTCCACCGAAGGCCCCAGTGGGGGGGGGGGGGGGGGCGCATGCGTCCGCCACACCCAGCACAGCGCTTCGTGGCCCCATAGGGAGCTCCCCCGAATGCGATACCCACAACTGCATATGGTTGGGTCCTTCGCCAGGCTAGTTTTTTTTTTTTTTTTTTTTTTTTTTTTTTTTTTTTTTTTTTTTTTTTTTTTTTTTTTTTTTTTTTTTTTTTTTCTGGTGCTGCCAAACATGTATGCGATTCAAGCGGCAGGTGAACATACCACCGTCCAGCGGTTGCAGAGGTCAGCTGCCAGCGGTCGCCACCTCTATACAGGAGAGGGGACACCGCAGCATCGCACCCAGTTGTTCTAGCGTCACAGTGCTGTAGCTGTGTTCGGTTGCGTCAGCAAGATGCCAGCGCAAGGCACGCTGCGCCACCGTTGCTGCACATGCCCTGCCCATGAGGCGCGGAGGAAGGACAGTGTGTCTCCTTAGCTTGCCAGGGCGGCAGAGTGCTCGGAACAAATGCCCCTGGTTTGGGGTTAAAGGTTTACCAGAGGCATCTTCCCAGACCTTGCCATGTGCGTTTCCCGGTTTGCTTTTGACGACCAGTGGGCGCTGCGAGGGGCGGGGGTCGAGCTTCCTCTCCTCCTCGAGGGTGGTTTCGTTTTTGCGGGCGGTTCGGGGCCGACGTCGCGTTCCACTGTTGGTCGTGTATGTCTGAAAGGGCTGGGCGCGTTAGGAGCCACCTACGGAATGGCTCCCTCTGTTTCTCGGCTTCCTTTCTCCGCTGGGGGCGGAGAGGACTGCGCGATGCCGGTTTTGGCTGAGTTTTCTCGGTTCGTTCAAGGCGTATTGGCATGTTGCAAAACGGCTCCAGGCTTCTGCATATGCCGGCACCGCGCGGCCTCGCGGGCCAACCCCCGCGCTCACATGTGGCGCCGCGTGCGCGCAGGGAGGACTGCGCGTCCAGATTGCTCCAACACGTGAAGAGCCACTGCAGCACGGTTCAGGCCAGGGAAGGGGCGCTTTCGCAGTGCAAGCCAGAAGGCGACCAGAGAGCAGACTACTCGGCCAAGTCAGGGGCCAGTTACGGGGCGCCCGCCCTCCGATTTGCTTCTGGAGGACTGTCTCGAGTCAGCGTCTCAGGCTTGCAAGGTGGCAGCCCGAAGGTTCACGAGAGTGGTCAATGAGAGTTTCCAGGATCATCGGTGTCTGGATGTGATCAGAGTATTGTATTTCGGCGCGTGAGAACAGTTCCCCAGCTGATTTCCTCGCGGACGCCCACCGCAACTCCGAGGCCCCGCCCGTGTCCCCCTCTCTCCTCCTCTGCCTCGTGCTGACTCGCCCCCTGCTCTTGCTGCTGATGGGGCGGGTGCCGTGGGGTCGGAAGAGCCTGAGGGCGAGGATGCCGGGGTTTCCGGATGATGACGGTCTGGGCCTTGGATATTTCCGTCCCTGGAGGGTCCAGGGGCGCTCGGTGCCAGGCTCGGACGCCATCCTCTTGCACGACGGGCTACCATTTTGCGGCCCGCGTTCGGCAGCGTGGTCTCTGTGCGCCTTGTGGGGGTCCCAGGAGGCCCGAGGGCGGCACGGCGCTTACTGTTGGGAAGAGGCTTCGCGATAGATGCCATCCTGATGACCCTTCTGTGGCTCTTGACGAGCCTCGGCATCCGTCCGAAGCCTCCCGTGCGCGATGGGCAGTGCACTTTGGAGTTGGAATGGGCGTGCCAGGGCACGCGCCCAGTCGGTTGCCCCCCTTTTCGCGGCAAGCTGCCGCCCACCGTCTTGCTCTCCAGGCTCGTGTGAGCGCCTTCGGACTCGAGGGCCGTGCGCAGGCCCGGGGCCCTGGGGACCCGGGCTGTGCTGGCGGCGAGGGCCGAGGCCGCGTCCAGGCGTGCGCTGGGTTCCCCTCCTCCTCCTCCTCCTCCTCCTCCTCCTCCTCCTCCTCCTCCTCCTCCTTCTCGTCCTCCACCTCTTCCTCTTCCTCCTCCTTTTACTCTTCCTCCTCCTCCCACTCCTCCTGCTCCTCCTCCTCCTCCTCCTCCTCTTCCTCCTGCTCCCGCTTCTCCGCCGCAGAGGGAAAGCTCGGCGGACGTTCTTGTGGGGCGGGGCCGTCCTGCCGGGGATCTGCCGCGGGGGGACGGAGCCCCCCGGGAGCCCACAGCACCCCCCAGAGGAGAGCCAGCCGTGCGGGCAGCCTCCGTCCGCTCCTCCTGCCCGCCCCGACGCTCCTCCCTCCGGCCCCTTTCTCCTCGAGGGAGGCGTCGCGGGCAGGCCAGCCGGCCCGAGCTTGCGGGCAAGATTTCATCCATATCCATTGCGTCTCGGAGTTTCGTGCTCCCTTCCTCCGATACCAGAGGCGCCTTGGATATGGACAACATAATTTCGCTCCTTGACGTGGGATGTTTGTCCATATCCACTGCGCCGCGGCCTGTTGGCGCCCCTTCCCAGAGCGTCCAAGACGCAGTGGACGTGGATCTGAATCGTGCCCGCAGAGCTGCCGCCGCCCCCCCCTGCGCGCAGGGCTTCGTTCGCGTGTTCGACCCCGCCTTCCGGAAGCCTTTCCCGAAGGTGCCCCTCCGGCCAGCCAGCGGCGGCGGCCGACGATGGCGGCGACGACGAGGACGACCGAGCGACCCGGCGATCGGCCCGCCGAACGATTCGCCCGGCCACCGACCGACCGATGGCGACCACAGCCGCCGATCGACGACCGACGCCCGATGATGTCGATGGGCGAGGACGGACAAGAGACAAACGCCCGGTATTTCTAATGCCAGTTGTGTCGGCCAGCCATTTTCGAGGGTGGTCATGCTTGCATCGAGCTCGTGTGTTTGATGAATGCTACTTGTGACTGCAGCTAGTGTGGGACAGGGATGATGCAAATCCTTCGGCCCACCCCGCCTCAGCACCTCAGTTGTAGGCAAGGGGTCTCTTGGATGCCAGTGGGACCTCTCGGGAGGCGAGTTCGGGCTTGCCTTTGGGCTTCTCGGGGCCCCGAGGGCCAGGGGCCCGACTTGGGCCTCGTGGCGGCCTGGGGCTTCCGGGGAGCCTCTTGGGGCTGCTGGCGATCCCGGAGGTCGTCTTTGGGCGGAGAGTGCGAAATGTCAGTTCGAGGTCCCCCTCTTGGGGCTCTTTGGGGCCCCCCTGGGCCATCTTTGGCGCCTCTTGGGCCGTCTTGCGCCTCTTGGGCCGTCTCGGGACTCTTTTAGGGGCCTCTAGGGCTGTCTGAGATCGATCTTGGGGGCCTCCTGGTCCGTCTTGGACGCTGTGAAAGCCCAAGAAGCGAATCTACTGAAAATGTACGGTTGCCTCTTTGGGCCCTCTCGGGGGTGCTCTTGGGGCTCTCTTGTATCGTCTTGTGGGCCCCTTTGGACCGTCTTGGGGCCACATTGGGCCGTCTCGAAGCCGTCTTGCACCGCTCTGGGTTTCTTCTTGTCCTTGAGACGCTCTCGAGGATTTCCGGGAGCTCCAAAGAGCGGCTGGAAAACCATGGGTTTGGGCCTTCACGAACCTTGCAAAACCCCTGTTGCCCGAGCCTGGCGGCACTCCACTACGTGCTGGGGGAACGGTGGCGGACGCCCCGAAGAGTTCTCCTGAGACCCCATGAGGTTCCCAAGAAGCGTATGGCGAGGAGCACAGCTTGGCCAAGCTATCTGCCTATGTGGTTTCGCAGAAGAGGAGGGGGAATCACGAGAGGGAGGAGGATGAGGAGGCGGAGGAGGATGAGGAGGAGGAGGAGACATCAGGCCTCATGGCGGCCTCGTGCCGCCATCCGGGACCGTCTTGGAGGTATCTTGGGGGCCATCTTAAATCAGACGGGGTCATCGGCGACTCTGGACCCTCTTGGGCCCCTCTTGGAGCATCTTGGACCTGATCTGCCGAAGGAGGTCTAAATTTGATGGAAGGCGGCCGAGAGGCGAGAGGGGGGGGGACCGTATTCTGACCCGGGACTCCCCCAGGACACCCCCCGGACACCCCCTGGCATCCCCCCGACGCCCCCCCGAGACCCCCAAGGGATCAAAGGGAAGGGGCTCCCCTTCGACTCAATTACGACTTCGATTGCGACATGGCTCGATCCACCTCGAGTTGACGAGCTTGGCGCGCCAAAGAGGGTGATGAACTGGGCGCGCCCAAGAGAACGCCAAAGGGTGCTCCGAAGACGACAAACTAAGAGCTCCCCCTCTCCCACACGCAGACAGGGTCCATACATGCATACATGCATGCATACATACATGCACACATACATACATACATACATGCATACATACATGCGTACACACATATACATATACATATACATTTACATTTACATTTACATTAACATTTACATTTACATTTACATTTACATACATGCATACATACATACATACATGCATACATACATACGTACACACATACAAACACACAAACGCATGCACATGCACATACATCTACATATACATATACACATACATGTACATATCCAAAAACATTTACAGTTGCAGCACACACATTTACATACACATACATGTACATACATGCATGCATATACACATGCATGCACACAAGCAAACCTACACGCATACATACACACACATGCATATATACATACATACCACCATACACATACACACGTGCACACATACGTATTGACATACATACATGTATACATACACACATACATGCATACACGCATATGTACATACATATATGCATGCATGCATGCATACATGTATATACACATCCATACAGGCATGCACACGTACATACATGCATACACATACATACCTACATACCTACATATACACACACATATATATATATACATACACACATACATACACATACATGCGCACACACACATAAGTGCATACATACACATACACACATACACATACACATACCCATACATACATACACGCATACATGCACACACACATACATACGAACACACATAATCACATGTATGCACACGCATCTGATCATGCATGTGTACATACATACATTGATACACACATACATACATACACACAGGCATACATACATGCATGCATACATGCATCCACACATACATGCATGCATGTATGCATCCGTACATACATACATACATACATACATACACACATACACACATACATACATGCATACATACATGCATGCACGCATGCTTGCATACTGCATACAATAATATACGCATACATACATCCATCCATACATACACACATACATCCATACAGCCATACACATACATACATGCACATACATGCACACATTCATACATAAGGATATGCATACACACGTACGCACATGCATACATACATACATACATGCATACCCATGCATACTTACACATGCATATATTTATATATACACATGCGTACATAGATGTATGTATTTGTTCATGCATGTCTACACACATACATATAAGCACACATGCATACACACATACCTATACACATACATACATGCATTCATATACACATGCATTTACGCATGTCCATATACATACATACACACATACACGCACACATTCATGTAAACAGGCACACTTATACATACATGCACAACACATACATCCATGCAGGCATGCATACGAAACCATACGTGCCCACATACATACATACACGCGTCTTTACATACATACATGCATACACATACACATACACACACGTGTACATACATACATACATACATACATACATGCGTACATACGTATATACCTACATACGTACATGCGCACATCAGTAAATACGTATATGCGTACATATGTACATACATACATACTCATACACATATATGTATATATATATATATTGGTGTATATGTGTGCATTACAACGGAAGGCCAACTTACTATACATTCATATACCTACCCATATATACATATACATTTATAGGGTTCAGTTCTATTTCCGTGTGCCAATATATATATATATATATATATTCCTCGGATTCGATGTGATTATTTGCAATATAATTGCGCCACCTTGTATTGTTGCATATGTACCACACTACACTATAACGTGCCATATCATATTTTAGTTTGTTATTCTATACTATGTCATAGTGTGTGACATTGTTGCGTGTTGCAGTATTAGAATTTATTTGTATTCTGTTGTTTCATGTACTCTTCAATTATATCATATGTTAGCCAGTGTGGACAGCGAGCAGCAGGTTCTTCCAGTCTATGCGGTGCAACCTATGTGGTGCAATGTATGCGATGCAGCCTGCGTGATGCAATATATTCGGTGCAATCTACGCGGCAATCTAGGTGGTGCAACCTGCGCGGTGCAACCTATGTAATGCAATCCATGCGGTGCAAGTTACGCGCGGTAGCTACTACTCCTGCTACTCCTGCTACTCCTGCTACGAATGCTATTGCTACTACTCCTATTGCTATTTTTTACTACTACTATTACCGCTACTACTACCACCACTACCACCACTACTACTACTACTGCTGCTACTACTACTACTGGCACTACTGCTCGCACTGCTACTGCTACTGGTCTTACTACTGCTACGACCCCGACTACTACTACTACTACTACTACTGCTGCTACTGCTGCGACCCCTACTACTACTACTGCTGCTGCTGTTGCTGCTGCTACTTCTACTGCTCCTACTGTTGCTACGACTACTCATACTAGTACTGCTACCCTTATTACTGCCACCGCTACTACTACAATTGCTAGCTGCTCCTGCTACCGATATTACGACGACGATTGCTACAACCATTACTACTCCTACTACTACTACTACTGCTACTGCTACTGCTACTGCTACTACTACTACTATTACTACTACTACTACTACTACTACTACTACTACTGCTACTGCTACTGCTACTGCTACTACTGCTACTTCTGCTACTACTGCTACTACTACTACCACTCCTATGCATGTGGTGCAAGCTATGTAGTGCGCGGCTGCGACGGCGGCGACGGCGGCAGCGACGGTGCGGCGACGGCGGCGGCGACGGCGGCGACGGGCGGCACGGACTGCGACGGTCGCTCCTTGTCCCGGGATGAGCGGTGGCGGCGGGCGGCGACGGGCGGCACCGCCCGCAAAAGCAGCCCGTGGCCCCGAGATGGGTAAGGCAAGTCAGAACCCCCAAGTGCAAGCATTGTTTGGGGAGTCATAGTACCATATTTTTTTCAAATATTTTGTGTAGTTTGATATTTCGCAATATTACACCACCCCGTTACTTTTCTATTTTATAGCAGGTTACCATATATCAGATTTATCGGACTATAACATATTAGAATCAGCAGTCTGATGCACTCTCATATGGTACCATAATTCCGTATCGTAGTATATGATTTTTATGTCCTAGTGTAAGTATAACATTCATCGTTCTAGTATGCCGTAATATGTACACTATCGTCGTGGATTTTGTTCGGTAGTATTCTCGCTAGTGTATTGCATTGCATTGCACGATATGGTATACTTGTTTGTATACACGCTCGCCTTTGCGTGCTATATTTAATGTAATATTGAGTCACATCATATTGTTTTATAGTATTTGAAAGCGATTTTATATGATGCTGCAGTCCATTATGCGTTCGGGACTATCTACATACGTATTTGTAC